CTTTGATGCATTTTTCAAATTTCGCCTTGGGGCGGAGTTATCTTTTCACAGGGGGGTAAGATACACTTTAAACCTAAAGTATTAGATCCAGGACAGTCTCTTTCACAAAACACTTCAGGCCAGGACTTAGACACCCTTTGTCCACCTCTGTGTAATTTCTGAATGTATCAAGGCGGCGAGGGGGGGGGGGTCAAAGCCAACCCACCCATGTCAAACTGGTCAATACGTGAAACTGTCAGGCAGCTTTGTGACTGAATGAAGAGATGCAGCAGTGACATGTGGGTTGTTAAAGCAGYTGGTTGCTAACAGATTTATTTATGATGAGCAGCTTGATAACTGATGACCACAAAAACAATGATTAAACTACTGAAAACAAAATGAGGGAGACGTCCCTTGTCCCAACAGTGAGTTCAGTTTCACTCCTCTTTTGGTTCCATGATGCTCGTTAACTTCTGAAAGCTCACATCTGTGTGGGACGTGGCCAGTGCCGTCTGTGATTTATGAACGGGCAGTGCCAAAGTCGTAGTAGTCTGTGGTCATTTCAGACAGAGTTTTATAAAAGAGTGTGTTGTTTTTGTTGATTAAAAAACATGACACAAAACTACCAGTTTGAAATGAACCTGTTTATTTAGCTGTAAAGACAGTTTTACYCTCATAACAAACTTGTTTAAGTTGGACTCACATTGATCTGAGTGCTTGTAGGTCACATTGTGTCCTTTGTGGTTTGTCAGACTGATTTRCATTCTGTGTGTTGTTCTTGTTTTGTCTGTAGGTAATGTTTTTACTGAGATAGAGAGTGCATTTGCTTCAGGGCTTGGATGGCTGATCACCTTCTGCTCTGACTCTGGAGGTAATCTGAACTTTGGAGATGTCACCTGAAACATGTCTGTTGGTCTGGCTCATGTTTAGACCGGCCTACAGACYGCTGTGTGTAAAACATTACAAACACAAGCAGTGTACACACCAACACGTGTCTGTTTGTCTCAGATTGTCTGGAGCCCAGAACAAGACAGAAGCTTGCTGGGATGTTGGTGAGAGCAAAGCTGGAATATTTTCACAGGATCTTCGTACAATTCATCTACTTTGCTTTTTTTTCTCACATAATTATACACCTAAAACTGCAAAGTCCTCAAACTGAAATTTAATTTTAGACCAGATTTTTATTGTATTTAAAAAACAAAAGCTATCTAAGACAATTGTTGTGGTTCATAAAACTTTAAACTGTATATTCAGCATGTGTTTGTGTGTAGGATGGTCTGGTTAAGGTGGGGTGGATGGACTGCACCGTGCAGCAAGAACTATGTGGCAGTTTCCAGGTAAGACTTCATACTTTTTATATTAAATACTTTTACTTTGTCACGTAGAGCTGAACAGACACTCATCATTATTTGTCATCTGGGAAGATAAATCAAAGTATCATCAGCATAAAGGTGAATTTAGATTTGTTTTTCTAAACAAACAAATGCTCTGAACGTACACCTAATACACACTTACTGATGTAAAATAGTTTCAGCCAAGACAGACTACTGAAAATACAATCCAACTTTATTTTCAAATCACTTCAAAACAACCAAAAAGGACCAATGTGCTGTACAAAAGTAGGATTAAACTTCATGTGACATAAGATAAAAAGACAGAATGAAAACATAAAGCATGAATAAAATCAGCACTATAATAAAAACAAATTAAGCAACATAAAAAACATGTAAAATTTTTATTTAAAGAGGCAATATCATGTACAATCAACTTTTTTGAGTTTTATATCATGTTATAACGTTCTCCTCTCATCAAAAACATGCAGAGTCTTACTTTGACTCATTCATCATGTTTGGTAAATCCTGTAGTGTCCTGAGACAACAGGCAGGAGAGCAGAAACAACTGGTTGGGACCAGAACCTCCTTTAGGACCAGCTCCTCCTCTGGGATGTGTCTCCAAGCTGAGCTGCCTCATCACAGAGCACACCCCCCCACCCCCACCACTCCAGCAGAAACAACCAGCAAACACCTGGTGAAACCATGTCTGCTGAGCTGCCAACACCACTTCCCAGTTCCCAGTGCAGCCAATGAATCTACACTGAGCTTCTGCATCATGTATGTGGGTTAGGCTTACTGAAATAATCTAACCAGTGCTCCAGGTTGTAAACAGCAGATCCTCTCTCTGTAGAGAGAAGCAGGAGTGATGTGCAGATCGATACTGAAATATCAGTACTACTGATACCAGAACTTTATGTTCTAGAATCGATACTAAAATCAAAATATCAATACTTTAGTTATTTCACATAATGTAAATCATTAACAGGAAAATAGTGGAAAAATAACTAAACTATTCAAATCATGTCTAAATCTGATGTGGTTGGAGGAACTACTTTTTCTTCCGCTTGAGTGGCCTGTGCTCCGTCAGTCACTCAGTCTGTACATGTATGGCAGGTCATTTTAACATAAAATCTGTTTTGTCTGAATGACTGTAATAAACTTTTTCATGCCATGGCCCCCCAAACAGCAATAACTCTGCACAGGGACCTTCTTACAAACACACAAACAATGCTACAAAATATACAAAGTAACAATTTTTAGAATACTTTTTCTCACTTTTATTCACTATTTAAAAATGTTTTTATTTCTTTAGAATAAGAATTTAAAATCGTGCTAAACAAATGTAGGGTTAGGGTTAGAAAGACTTTTAAATTAAATAAATTACTATGTCATGTATTATTTATAAAGTGGTTATTTGAAAAACACTACATTTTAAGATTTACCCGACACTTTGTGTGTTGTCACAAAGTATCAGTATCGGATCAGTATCGCCAATACCAGACACATTTTACTTGGTGTCAGTATCGTAAAGAGAATAGTCAGAATCGAACATCACTAAGAAGCAGCTGTGACGTACTGAAATGGGCGTGGCAGTATCAGAAGGAGGTTCTTAAAGAGACAGAGGCCCATTTCAAGGTGTTTAGAAATAGAAATGAATGAGAAMTCGTTTATTTTCTATTTAAACATAAAAACAGCATTTTACAAACAACTAAAGTTGACATAGCTACTTTATTATGATATAGAATTTCAATATACAGTATGCCTGAAAAACATAATATTGCCCCTTTGATTTAAAATCAAACAGACAGGTAAGAGGACTATCCAAYGCAAAGGAAAGTCTTCCATAATTTAGGAGACACATCATAGATGTTGAGGTGGTAATTATGCTAATTTCCTCTCCTCGTTAATACCTACCTGATTACGTACAGGTGGCATTTCTCTTGTTTACGCAGCTCATTTACACACTTTTCCTGAAGATTGAAGAGTTTGTTGAATCTGACGTGACATGTTCGTACGAACCCTTCGTATGAACAAAAAGTAAAATAAATTTAGGATAAGAACATGTTCTTGCACGAGGCTCAATGTGTCAAACTGACATGGGAGGTCATGTCTAAAGTTATTGCAGTGACTACAATACAGATAACAAACTGTGCAGAACAGGCAGACTGCTGGTTCCACATACAGCAGGCCTAAAAAACAAGCACATTTGGTACATAAAGTCACACAGCCTCTTTCATCAAGTCAAACCCAAGTTGATGTAACTTCACCCTTTAGACTTGTCAGGTTGGCACTAGTTTGGAGCTGACGTCAGAGTTAAACTCTGACATGTTTGATTAGGAAATGATCCAGGGAGCTGAATACTGATGGAGGATCTGAACAGGATGCAGGTAGTCCATAAACACACATGTTGTGTGTAGATACTAGTTTATCAGGGTTGCTGTCTCAGTATGAGACAGCATGCAGATGATGCAGGACTGTGTTGGTATTACCCGTGGTGTGGCATCTTAAAAAGTTGTATCCACACTGCAGCATGCTTTTAGTCAGTTTGTAGTCATTGCCTTGTGCTTGGTGGTCTTGGRGAAAAAAATACCGTCACAATTTTTATAGACTGTCACTATATTTTGATACAGCGGTATACCAAAATACTGTCATACTGCCCAAGCCTAGCCCCACAGTTTGAGACCTGGACCACTGTGACATCTGTGTGTTTACTGTCTGTACTATGACATGGATGGAAATACACTCTGACCACATTAACCCTCAGTGTACGTCTTAAAGCTCCCATCAAGTGCTAATAATACTGTCACAGCTTGGACTGACTGTGGGACACTCTAACTGCTTGATGWCGCTCCACTCACAGTGCTTCAGTACTGCCTTCATGTGCCTGTTCTACATGTGCAGTTATTTGCAAATCAAATGATCTCCTGACTCATCACTTGTCTGTATTCACATCAAATTACACCTATGTCAAACTCTTCCCTCTGGGTGCTTMATTCTTTTGGATGGGGGGTTAGATTTATCATTTCTTTTACAGTATTTGCTCATGGAGCTGTAGTAATACATTTACTACTGTAAGTAAAGCAGCTGTTGCAAAGCCAATATTTGTGTTTGATCCTTGTGTGTTTTAGGTAACCAGTGGAGCAACTGCTTTGTTTCCACCTGAAAGTGCTCTGGATAAACAAGATAGTATACTGGTATGACACAAAAYATAAATACTGCTCATAGGAATACTCTGTAAAGTACTACAGTACTAATTTAGTGTTGTGTGCTTCAGTGGCTGAAGACATTGGACAGTAAAGAAATTTATAATCAGGTCATCAACCATCTGCCAGATCTAGAACTGCTGACCAGTGACAGTTTTGAGGTACTTGCACTAATGGACACAAACAGTATACTACAGTTTGGACACAATAAACAGTACACAACAGTTTGGACACAATAAACAGTATACAAAAGTTTGGACACAACAAACAGTATACAACAGTTTGGACACAATAAACAGTATACAACAGTTTGGACACAATAAACAGTATACAACAGTTTGGACACAACAAACAGTACACAACAGTTTGGACACAATAAACAGTACACAACAGTTTGGACACAACAAACAGTACACAACAGTTTGGACGTACACCTCAGTGAGGGTGAGGGTTGTGTTAAAATACGACTGTCTTATCATTCACAGGACAAACTGGCCCATCATCGATGGTTGATCAGTTTTACATTTGGTGACAGAAACTCTTTCTCTGAGTACAAGAAGCTCAAAGCTTTTCTCCAAAACGACCACATCCAGGTGTGTTTCTTCTCTTCACATCTTTCTGCCTGTCTGTATGGCCTGTCTGTATGGCCTGTCTGTATGGTCTGACTGTATGGTCTGACTGTATGGTCTGTCTGTATGGTCTGTCTGTATGGTCTGTCTCTATGGCCTGACTGTATGGTCTGTCTGTATGGTCTGACTGTATGGTCTGTCTGTATGGTCTGACTGTATGGTCTGTCTGTATGGTCTGTCTGTATGGTCTATCTCTATGGCCTGACTGTATGGTCTGTCTCTATGGCCTGACTGTATGGTCTGTCTGTATGGTCTGACTGTATGGTCTGTCTGTATGGTCTGACTCTATGGCCTGACTGTATGGTCTGTCTGTATGGTCTGACTGTATGGTCTGACTCTATGGTCTGTCTGTATGGTCTGTCTGTATGGTCTGTCTCTATGGCCTGACTGTATGGTCTGTCTGTATGGTCTGACTGTATGGTCTGTCTCTATGGCCTGTCTGTATGGTCTGTCTCTATGGCCTGACTGTATGTTCTGACTGTATGGTCTGACTGTATGGTCTGACTGTATGGTCTGTCTGTATGGTCTGTCTCTATGGCCTGACTGTATGGTCTGTCTGTATGGTCTGACTGTATGGTCTGTCTCTATGGCCTGTCTGTATGGTCTGTCTGTATGGTCTGTCTGTGTGGTCCGACTGTATGGTCTGACTGTATGGTCTGTCTGTATGGTCTGTCTGTGTGGTCCGACTGTATGGTCTGTCTGTATGGTCTGACTGTATGTTCTGACTGTATGGTCTGACTGTATGGTCTGACTGTATGGTCTGACTATGGTCTGACTGTATGGTCTGACTGTATTGTCTGACTTTAAAGTCTTCTGAATGACTGTTGGTCTCTGCAGGTTGGTAAAGTAGACTGTGCAGCAGAGTCAGGGTTGTGTCAGTCTCTCTACATCCATAAACCC